AGCCCAAACACTGACACCTTACGCCTCGAGAGGCAACTGGCAGAAGGCCACAACAGGAACCACTGATAACGCAATCAGGACTGCCACCAGCAGCGCCAGCAGTCTTCACGGCATCAGCATCAATGTCCGCATCAGCGGCGGCAGCAGCAGGAGCGGCAGTGGCAGCAGCGTCGGTCACCAGCATCACCACGAAACTAACAACACGACAAATCACAGCAGCGAGGTACTTACAACAACAAGGAGAACAACAGCCCGAACATGAGACGAGGAACGACAACAGTCATACGGTCGAGGAGACTTGCTTCAGTTTGCGGGATGTTTTCAGAACAGGATAAGAGCAAATACATAGAGTCCGTGCATATCGTCATCGTGACGTGCTTTCGCTACGTTTCACATCCCATAAAGTCATAAAGGCCGAGCCAGGGGACTCCGATGCAGTGGTAGCCAAGAGCTCCGCCCTGGGTGTCGCTACACTCCTGTTGGGAAAGTCGCGGCAGCCGCCACAACAAAATCCAGCCACCACAAGAGCTGCCACAACAACGACAGCGTCAACAATACGCACAACGGTTCTTGCTATGCAGAACTTGTCGATGGCACTCGTTGTCTGTGGGACGATGAAGGCTGGTGAGGCCACGACGTCCGAGAGCACACTATTCGGCTCCAAACCCCCTAAACCACAAAATGCGAACTCAGAATCCCTAAGGTAGCTTAATGAACACACCGGAAGACGTCCCACCAGATGGACTGCAGCAGCTCCTTGCAAACGCGCAGGAACTGAGTGTAGGCGTCGATAGCCTGCTCAAGGCAGTCTAAAACTGCATTCCAGCTCGAGGATGCTGGTGATGCTTCTCACATAGCGACGAGTGAACCAAACCATGCAGTTCAAGATTGGCCTGGTGGTGGTGGTGGTTGTGGTGGTGGGGGTGGCGGTGGTGGGGGTTGGCGGTGGTGGCGGTGGCGGTGGTGGTGGCGGTGGCGGTGGTAGTGGTAGTGGTGGTGGTGGTAGTAGTAGTAGTAGTCGTCGTCGTCGTTGTGGTTGTGGTGGTGGTAGTAGTAGTAGTAGTAGTAGTTGTAGTAGTAGTAGTAGTAGTAGTAGTTGTAGTAGTAGTAGTAGTAGGAGGAGGAGAAGGAGTAGGAGTAGGAGTCGAAGTCGGAGTCGGAGTAGGAGTAGGAGTAGTAGTCGTCGTCGTCGTCGTGGTCGTAGTCGTAGTCGTCGTCGTTGTGGTTGTGGTGGTAGTAGTAGTAGTAGTAGTAGTAGCAGCAGCAGCAGCAGCAGCAGGAGCAGGAGTAGTAGTAGTGATGGTAGCAGTAGTAGCAGGAGGAGGATGACAATTGCAACGATGAGGAGCAATTATCATCTAAAGCTGAGCAAGATAGCTGCTGTGACCAATCCCAATCCCTGTTAAACTATCCTGAAGAGAAGTGCAGGAGGATCTCGTCTCTCTGACCCACTCTCACTTTCTTTCGCCTGAGCTAGGGGCGAGGAGACCCCCTCACCCCCTCTCACTCTCACTCTCTCACTCTCTCTCTCTCTCTCTCTCTCTCTCCAAAAAAATAAAATAAATAAATAAATATACATATATATATACATATATATATATATGTATGTATGTATGTATGTCTGTATGTATGTCTGTATGTATGTTTTATGTATGTTTTTATGTATGTTTTATGTATGTATTTAACTTTTTATAATGTAGAGTACAGATGTTGCCACACGTAAAGAAACATCATCTAAAATCCACCCACTCAAGTTGATGTACGCGCACACACACACACAGGCTGCAGTATCCAGCCTTCTGGTACTGCCCCAAGTTGTCCCGGAGGACGCCGAGCCTGAGGCGCCAGAGTACCGATCAGTTCGGAGCTTTGATGAGCTGGTGATTCTTAGCTACATAGGCCCTGGGGCTTCTCAGTGCCACTGCACCAGCTCCAACATCTGTACAGGATGCAGCCAGCACCTGGAGCGGAAGACCTAACCACTTAGTGTTACACGTGTCCTCCACCTGCACATCACACGAAAAACCATAAGTGCCCAACATGAAGGCATCGGATGCTTGATCTACGGGTTCTTATCAATCCTCGTGCCCTTCGATGCCACACAACAAAGAGCCGAAGCTTCCTTCAATCCTTCAAGCTAACCTTGCAACTTCATCAGAGACAGAAACTCCAAGGCCCGAAGTAAGTGGAATGCTAAAATCAACATGGTCGCGCTTTGATTGCCCAAGAAGGCTGACCCTAGCCCTAGACATTGAATCCGCCAGGCAGCGAGAAGTGAGCACGGCCCTCTTCCCGTAACTTCGACGCCCGCCGGCAGGCAAAGGTCAACATCTCGAAGTCCTTGAAATTCAGTCGAAGTTGCAAGGGTTTTGCGGTCTCAGGGCTTTCAGGCGTAGCGGTCTGGGCTCCAAAGTCCCCAGGGCCCCAGAATGTAGAGCAGCAGAGCATTGCTTCGGCCTTCAGGTTACAGGGTCGAAGCTCGTAGATTCTCGAGGCTTATATTCGCAGAACTGATGCTCGCCCCCAGTTTGTCTTCACCCAAAGCGAACGTAGACTCTGTTACTGTATGTCCTAAGGGTTCGAACGCCAGCCGCAAACAGACAATCACGGAACTTGAAGGAGAAATCAGGGCTGAAGATGGGAATCCTGATCGATTAGCACTTTCACGTCCTATTAAGGCGCCGAGAGGCCTTCATCTTTCTCAGGGTCACCGTGCGCTCCTCTGGAAGCAGCGGCTCACCGTCGGGACGCCGCGCAGGCGTGTTCAAGTAGCTGGGCAGCTCTATCCTCGCGTCTGAGAACTTGAAGGACATGGTTCATGATTATACATCAGGTCAGTAGCAGGAAGTACAAAGCCACGAAATCACATGCGAGTCTTACAACGGCTCTTTTCGAAAAGCCGAGTTCGGCCGAACCCATGCCGAACCAAGTCTAAGCCGCAGTCGCACTTGTCCTCACAAGGTTTCTCGGAGCCCTTCGCGAGCCAAGCACGGGGCCTCCCAATCCTCGAAAGCGTTAACCCTGATGCCAAAGCAGTTCCACGGACACCTGAGCCTGACTCCTCAAACCGGAGGTCCTCTGCGGCTGGAGCATGCCAGGTGGTCGCTGAGTGACGCCGGCACCGACCGCAGCAGTGCTGGTGCTGGCTGCGACCTTCTGCAGAAGATGTGAGGCAAAGGGAGGGGGCAAGTTGTAGGTGAAACAAATTATAGGTGCAAGCGTGTCTGTGTCCTGCGTACGTGCGGTATTTGTGTCCCCTTGTGTGCGTGTTTGCCCGAAGGGTTTACGTGTGTACGAGTGTTCGCACACATGCGAATCCTGGTGATGTCACTAGCCTGACGATGACCCTACTGACATCATGAAGGTAATGGTGATGAGGTTTGTTGCTGCTGAAGATGATAAGGACGAAGATTATGATGACGACTTTGAACCGATTGATGTTGATGATGTTGATGACGTTGATGATGATGGTGGCGATGATGGTGACGATGGTGGTAATGACGGTGGTGATGGTGGTGGTGGTGATGATGATGACGATGATGGCGACACTTGTCAGGTTGATTTTACATTGATGCATCGCGCTGTCACTGGTAGTACTACTCAGTTACCCCATACTGTATGTACTCGTTGATTGTCGACTTTCTGGGAAGCCCTTAGACGAACACAGGAGCCTGCTAACCAATCGCATAATGCACGGTCATGCTTTAGGAGCCCGGTGGTATTCCGCGGCAAGCAATTCAACTGTTCTGCTTGACCACAAGGTCCAACACAACGCTCCTTCCCCCCGACTAAAGCAGCTGCACCCCCCCCGAACTCGGACACTACGTCACGAAGTCAAGTCCCAAAGGCTCAGGCAAGACCCTTTGAACCCCCAACGCAGGTGCCTTGTCGGCATGGTCGTGGGGCTTAAGTCCCCGGCTGCTGAGTTGACCGCCCCGCCCGGGACCTTGCTTGAGGGAGCAAGAACACTTGGGCTGGAAGGGAAAGCAAAAGATTCAGCAATGTGCATTGCCTGAGCTTTCCCGTGGATGGTCGTTGGCCGAGACGGCGTTGGGACAAGGTATTGTTTAGCAAAGCTTGCCATGCTGGACCACCCAAACCGATTTTAAGGGTGTAAGCATCAACTGGATGTGACCAGCCATGGCAAAGCTAGTGGCCCACGCGACGAGGGAAGCATTAGGCCCCCCAACAGGGATCCTTGTGCGGCCCATCCGTGAGAACTGCGACAGCAAAGGTGGAGCAGCAATGGAGCAAGACAATCGTGCTTCCACTGCATTGAAAGCTCCACCAGCTAGGTCTATCATCTATTCCGGAGGTTCAAGGCATGGCTCAGCTGCTGCTAGTTTCATTCGTCACGGATGCCATGGGCCCTGACAGTGCATTGTGGTTGGAAAACTGTTCGACTAGGTTGAACACCGAAGGCGGCGGAGATACCGCCGTCTTTCGAATATCCAAGTCACATTGACCCAGAGCTGCCGAAACTGTTGCCAGAAAGCTGCCCCCTCGCCAACGGAGACTTTGAAGCACCACGAGTGACCCATCCAGGTTCTCGCTCTTGCTTTCCAGGGTGTTGGTGGTGGTTGAGAAATGACATGCAAGACACTCATCAAACCAGCTGGACACTGCAGACAGGAGAACTTCAGACGGAACCGCTGGAATAACAAACTTTCGATCGCTCGCGGCGACGGTACCGACCAGACCCAATCCGACCCGATCACCGATCGAACCGAGGCCGTCCAAAACCCGGAATTCGAGGCAAAACTTCTGAAGAACTGGACCCCAAGCTGAACCCTACTGCGGAAGAACCCATACTGTTCTTGATCGTCTGGCATCCTTTGTCTGAAACGCCTGTGGACACCACCCGACATGAAGATGATGTAGCAACAGTGCTCTGTGTGTTCAGAGGCCACTGGAGGAACAAGTGCACCTCCATCCGAAAAATCTATGACTGGTATGCCTAAAGTCTAGAACTCTAGACCAAACATGCAAGTCCCAGAAACTCGAAGGTAGCCCCCCGCGCGACAATCGGTTGGCTTTGGATGCGCTCAGCGGACGCCGTGCCGCCCAGTCTGTCTGCGACTGCTGCCTCAAAAAACGACGGGTGTTTGTCGGTCGACCCGAGGACTGGAGATACTCTTTTGCTGTTGCCGTCAAGCCATCAAACACAGAGCTGAACAAGAGAAAGGACGCCATCCCCAGTCTGTCAATGCCCAGCAGCATCTGCAGCGGATTCCTCAGAGGTTCGATCGGGGCAGGCTTGCGCAATGGCGACTTGAAGTGCATCTCAACCCCAGGGCTTCAAAGTCCTACGGCTGTGCGCTCAGAGCGGCAGGGAGTGTCAGGGGCTGGGTGCCTAGCTGAGCTTGCTCCACTTTCAGCTGAACCACTACACAAGAAACCTAATGTCGAGGCTTGGCAAATCCAAGCGGCCGCATCTTGCCGGACTCGAGTACCCGCACAAGTCCAACCCGGGCAGGCCTATAATTGCCCTCATAGCTCCTTAGCTTTTTGGGTTTAGGCGTTCAGGGGTGGCGTGTGTAGAAGTTCCTTGAGCAATGTTGTGGACGTGGCAGGATCCCGCTGGGAGCACTCAAGACTACAGACTGCCGAGGGAACCAACCACAGGCTCCGAAAACCTGACCTCTTGGCCTCTTAAACCCTGAGTCCTCAATCCTCGCACGCCCTGTGTCGGGGCGTTGAAGGCTGTCGTTGGCACATCTCATTGGCAGGGCCTTCTTCTCGTGTCGACTTTGGTGCCATAGAAGCTCACCCCAAAATCCAAACGAATCGAGCTCTCGCAAGCCAGCATGAGCCTGAAAACATCTGTCAGCTTACATCGCCTAAGGCCATGCGCATCCCATCCCCCGGTGCCCTTTTTCTTGCAAGGATCTCAGGAAGTTCGGAGAATTCTCCCAGGGTCCTGTCCTGGGGGATCCGTGGTGACAGGTCGTGGAAGCCTGCAGCATGGAGCGGCGACCACGTGGCGCCCATCTGAGCCGCCATGCCGGGCGCCATAGGCTAAGGGCCTTTATGGCTTTTGTGGTGTTTGGGACTTGGGGCTGAAGTGCTCAAAACGGCTTAGTGACGAGTTGAGGCTTGTGACCGATGCTTTTGGCCTTTGGTCTTCAGCTGTAGGGACTTGGTGGCTGAAGTAGAAAAGATTTCGGTCAGGCGGCCAAGGGCTCACATTGTTGAGCCTGAGTGACGCCCTTCGCATCAAACCGGATTGAAAAACGACTATGCTGATGAAAATGAGGATGTCGGTGATGCTCATGCGAATGCAGGAGGACACAGGTATATAACTTGCGCGCAAAGCCCAAGTATATCCAGTAGCTGCAGACTACGTTTATAGTAATTGGTTCCCAACAGTATAGGTGGTCGATGATGATGCTGTTGATGATGAAGATGATGATGCTGCTGATGATGCTGGCGGTGGTTTGCAGCGACTGCTTTTCACTCGTCGCTTGTCACCCGGTCTTCTTACTTTGCAGGTGAGAGCGTACATATGCAACAAGGACAGACAAGCAGAGCACTGACACGCCCAGTACAGCTTGCCGAAACCATCTTCGAGAACTCTTGTGGTTCCGTTCAGCGGCTGCCGCAGGCGTCGCAGCGCCTGAGGCCCAGGCTCATGCCATCAACACACTGAGAGTTTAAGCCTTCTGAAGAAGCCCGAAACGAAAGCGATAACAAACCATCCTAAACTCCTAAACCCGAAGCTGAAACCCGTAAACCCAAAGCCGAAGTCCCACTTCTCAAAAACCTGGAGTTTGTTTTGCCCGGACTGCCTTCACCAGACGGCAGCAACCATGGCGTGCCGCCGGGTGCCATAGTGCAGTTTACCTGGTTCAGCCATGAGGCCAAAATGGACTTCCGGGCTCCGGAACATGATTGAACCGGTCTCATCATCATCATCATCATCACAATCATCACAGTCATAATCATCATCAGCAAGAGTAGCACCGTCGGCATGACATGGCCATCATCACGGGGATGCTGGTGCAGCCGTGCATCTACTTGAAAGCGAAGATGCGCTTTCTTTTTCTCGCCTGTCGGAGAAAACGTTTCGATTGTTTTTCAAACTTAACCTTGTTTTCAATGATTTTTCACTTTGTTTTCTTCTCTCCCCCCACCCCTCCAGTTTAAAGAAAGCGGGGGGCGCAGCCTGCTCCGTTTGCAAACTTTCCAAACCTCCCCCGCCTCCGGGTTGAACCGAGGTTTGAACCTGGCTTTAGCTCCTCCCAGAACGGGAACGGAGGAGGGGGGGCAAACATCAACCACCCAGGCACCCAGCAGTAACGATGGCAGCAGCAGCAGCAGTAGCAGTAGCAGCAGTAGTAGCAGTAGCAGCAGTAGTAGCAGTAGTAGCAGTAGCAGTAGCAATAGTAGCAGTCGCAGTAGGAGTAGTAGTAGTAGTAGTAGTGGAGTCGGAGCAGTAGGAGCAGGAGCGGGAGCAAGAGCAATAGCGGCAGTAGCCGTTGTCGTCGTCGTAATCGCAGTCGTCGTCCTTGTGGTCGTGGCTGTCGTTGTCGTCGCCGGAAGTAGCCGCACGAACAGGAGGAACGATGAGAAACGCCGAAGCAGAAATAGTGATGATATTGATGAGAACTACAGTAATAGTTCCGAGAACCGCATTTTATCGGAATAGTCACGACAAGCATGCATCCTCCACCACATCATCCACCATTTTCGCCACTTGTCTCTACCAACACCATCATGAGGTTACCGCTAAAATGTTTAGGGCAACACTCTCATCAAAAACCACGCCAGCAGAAACAAAAAAGATAAAGATACGGTGGGTGGACAAAATCGTG